ACTCACCTCAGCCTCCCAAAGGCGCGGGATGACAGGCTGAGCCACCGAGCCCGGCATGAACATGTGCTTTTTGGCGTGGGGCTTCTGGGGAGTCTCCGTACCTATCCCGGTGGCCATCTTGACTTCCTCGAAGCTGAAGCTGTCCCCTTCGTTGAACATGAGAAGCACCAGCGTCTGGAAGAGGGACACCTGGAACTCTTTCTTCCCCTGAAAGAAAGGGACCCCTCACTTTGCAAGCTGTGCTGTGGTAATTTTTTTGGGTTGAGTTGGAGTCCTAAGCTGCTGCCCAGGCTGGAGTGGCATACTCATGGCCGCTACAGCCTCGGCCTGCTGGGCTCTTGCGACCTTTCTGCCTCAGCCTTCCAAGTGGCTGGAACCACAGGCGTGCGCCACCACACCCAGCTGTTTTTTTAATTTATTGTAGAGACGAGGTCTCACCAAGCTGCCAAGGCTGGTCTCAAACCCCTAAACTCAGGCAATCCGTCCACCTCCACCACCCAAAATGCTGGGAACACAGGTACGCAACATCATGCCTGGCTGATTTTTTTATTTTATTTTATTTACTTATTTTTTGAGTTAGAGTCTCACTCTGTGGTCCAGACTGGAGCGCAGTGGCCGCTCCCGGCCACCGCAGCCTCGACCTGCCGGGCTCCGGCGATCCTTCTGCCTCAGCCTTCCAAGAGGCCAGAACTACAGGCGCGCACCACCATGCCCAGCTGATTTTTTGATTTATTGTAGAGATGAGGTCTCGCCAAGTTGCCCAGACGGGTCTCGAACCCGTGGGCTCAGGCAACTTTCTCACCTCAGTCTCCCAAAGTGCTGGGATTTGGGCGTAAGCCACCGTACCTGGCCTGATTTACTTTCACTACGATTGTTTTTTGAGCTAGTGTCTCCCTCCATCACCCAGGCTGGAGTGAGTGGCACAATCCCAGCCACCACAGCCCCGACCTGCTGGGCAAAGGCAGCCCTCCCGCCTCAGCCTTCCGAGTAGCCGGAACCACAGGTGCATGCCACCACTCCTGGCAAATTTTTTGATTTATTGTAGAGATGAGGTTTCACCAAGTTGCCCGGGCTGGTCTCGAACCCCTGAGCTCAGGCCATCCACTCACCTCGGCCTCCCAAAGTGCTGGGATGGCAGGCGCAAGCCGCTGTGCCTGGCATGATCCTTTCGTTTTTTACTGTGAATATCTGTACAGATCTTTAATAGAAAAGCATGTCTTTACAGTAGAAAAATATTTGAACAAATAGTCAAAGAAGTGTTCTTAAAATACAAAAATTCAAATGTAATATACTGACTATAAAGTACCTATTTAGTGAAAACTGACTCACGTTTTTGTTTTGTTTTTTTTGAGTCGGAGTCTCACTGTGTCACCCAGACTGGAGTGCAACGGCCGCTCCTGGCCACTGCAGCCTCGACCCGCTGGGCTCCGGCGATCCTTCCGCCTCAACCTTCCGAGTAGCCGGAATTACAGACGCGCGCTACCACACCCGGCTGATTTTTTATTTATTGTAGAGATGAGGTCTCGCCAAGTTGCCCAGGCGGGTCTCGAACCCGCAGGCAATCCACTCACCTCAGCCTCCCAAAGGCGCGGGATGACAGGCTGAGCCACCGAGCCCGGCTGACTCATGTTGTTTACATGAACCAATTCCAAAATATGCATGTATGCATTTACAAAACTGCTATATATAAGCTCTTTAGAAATCTATTTGTAAATTTTAAAGCTGAGCAGAATCTTTTGTCTTTGTCTCCGGTGTGTGGAGCTATAGCAGATCAATTACTGGTCATGGCCACATGTGCAAGGGGCCTCCCTGTTGACCAACTGCTATGGGCCTGTCAGAGACAGGCTGCCGTCTGGGTCCTCTGGCTGTTGATGGTAGAGATGCACCAGCTGCTCTGCCTCAGCTCAGAAAGAACACGGCACACTGGAAGGTTCTGAAACAGTGAAAAGACTAAAGGCACGTGTGTCGTTTTGACTTCAAAGCAATGCTGCTGATCCAGGAGGGCTCTCACCAGGCTGATCTGTAAAGCGTCTTTCTGGTTACAACTCAGCTTCGTCACTGTTGTGTTCACTGTCGCCATTCTCACCTTCTTCCCGCTTTTCCTCTTTAAGCATTTTCAGGTATTCACTAGCTAAAATCTTTTCTGGCAATTTATCTGCAAAAACCCGAAAAGTTTCCGATTCCTTTGCAGTATTGGTTAAATCACTGTTAAGTCAGGGCTTTCTTCTCTTTTCCTCTGCCATGTCTGTAGGAACAGTGGCTAGAAATGGAGCAAAGAGATCCGTGGCCTTGGCCGTGAACACCACCACTTCCTGGTTGATGCTGGACACCTCGGGGGAGCTCTTCATGATGACCCGGATGCGGGACAGGGGCAGCGAGATGAGCCACTACTCCCTGCGCTTGTCTCTGCCCACGACCGCGTCTGCCATCTTTCTGCCCTCCTGCCGTGGGCAGCAGCCAGTGGGCCCGACCGCGAGGTGGCTGCCCGACCAGTTGGCTGGTGTGGGGAGCTGGTGTCCTGCTGCCCTGTGGGAGCTGTATTGTGGAGGGGCACGACCGTGAGGCCAGGAGCGGCCCATCTGGGTGGCATGATCTTTGAAAAATAAAAAGAGGCTGTCTGCTCTCAAGCTCTTTGTGAGGCAATCAAGAAATTACTAGTACCTACCAAATAAGAAGAAATTAAGTTCCTGATTATAAAAGAATAATATGATCATTAGGTATTGTACTTAAAAATTCTTCTCTCGCCGGTCTCGGTGGCTCAGTCTGTAATCCCATGCCTTTGGGAGGCTGAGGTGAGTGGATTGCCTGAGCCCGCGGGTTCGAGACCCGCCTGGGCAGCGGGACCTCATCTCTACAGTAAATCAAAAAAATCAACCGAGCATGGTAGCGCATGCCTGTAATTCCGGCTACTTGGAAGGCTGAGGCGGAAGGATCACCGAAGCACAGCAGGTCGAGGCTACGGTGGTCAGGAGCGGCCACTGCACTCCAGTCTGGACAACAGAGTGAGACTCCAACTCAAAAAAAGAAAAAAAAAAAAATTCTTCTCCTGAAGTATCTTCTGGCTGGGCGTGGTGGCTCAGCCTATACTCCCAGCATTTTGGGAGGCCGAGGCGAGAGGACTGCCTGAGCCTGGAGGTCCCAGACCAGCCGGGGCAACTTGGTGAGACCTGTTGCTACAATAAATCACAAAAACTAGGCAGGCATGGTGGCGTGTGTCTGTAGTTGCGGCTACTTGAGAGGTAGGGTCGCCTGAGCCCAGCAGGTCAAGGCTGCAGTGGCTGTGAGTGTGCTACTGCACTCCAGCCTGGGGGACACAGTGAGACTCCAACTCAAAAAAAAATAAATAAATAAATAAAAAGAAATATCTTCCGCCGGTGGAGTGGCTCAAGCCTGTCATCCCAGCACTTTGGGAGACTGAGGTGAGAGGACTGTCTGAGCTCAGGGGTTCGAGACCAGCCTGGGCAGCTTGGTGAGACTGTCTCTACAATAAATCACAAAAAACTAGCCGGGCATGGTGGTGTGCGTCTGTAGTTCCAGCTACTTGGAAGGCTGAAATGGAAGGATCACCTGAGCCCAGCAGGTTGAGGCTGTGGTGGCTGGGAGTGTGCCACTGCACACCAGCCTGGCCAACAGAGGGAGAGTCCAACTCAAAAAAAAAAAAAAAAAAAAAAGAGCCAGGCCTGGTGGCTCAAGGCTGTAAATCCAGCATTTTGGGAAGCCAAAAATTAAAAAATTAGCTAGGCAAGGTGGCACATGCCTGTAGTTCCAGCTACTTGGAAGGCTGAGGCTCAAAAAAAAATCTTAAAGTAGTAAAAAATTATTTACTTTTTTTTTTTTTGAGTCAGAGACCTACTCCGCTGCCCAGGCTGGAGTGCAGTGACACACTCACGGCCAACCCAGTGTCGACCTGCTGGGCTCCAGTGGTCCTTCCACCTCGGCCTTCTAAGTAACTGGCACAACAGGCGTACGTGCTGTCACACCCAGTTCTTTTTTTATTTAATGTACAGACGAGGACTTGCCATGTTGCCCGGGCTGATCTAGAACCCGCGGGCTAAAGCCTGCCTCTCGCCTTGGCCTCCCAAAGTGCTGGGATGATAGGCTGAGCCACTGAACCCGACCTTAGATACCATTTTGTAAAAACATTTTGATTTTAATTTTTTTAGAGACAGGGTCTTACTCTGCAGCCCAGGCTGGAGTGCAGTGTTGCAATCACAGCTCACTGCAGCCTTGACTGAGCCTCCTGGGTTCAAGTGATTTTTCAGCCTCAGCCTCCCAAGTGGCTAGGATTACAGGTGAGTGCCACTATGCCAGACTAATTTTTGTTTTTATTTATTTAATTTTGTTTTTTGAGTCGGAGTCTTATTCTGTTGCTCAGGCTGGAGTGCAGTAACACACTGGTGGTCACTGCAGCCTCGAATTACTGGGCTCAGGCAATCTCTCTGCCTCAGCCTTCCAAGCAGCTGGAGATACAAGCATGTGCCACTATGCCCAGCTAATTTTTTGACTTATTGTAGAGACGAGGTCTTGCCAAGTTGCCCAGGCTAGTCTCAAACCCGTAGGCTCAGGCAATCCTCTCACCTCAGCCTCTCAAAGTGCTGGGATTGTAGGCATGAGCCACTGTGCCTGGCATTTTTAATTTTTTTAGAGACGGGGTTCTTGCTATGTTGCCCAGGCTGGTCTCCAACTCCTGGCCTCAAGCAATCCTCCCACTTCTGCCTCTCAAAGTGCTGGGATTACAGGTGTGAGCCACTGCGCCTAGCCAATACTACTGAAGGAAAGGGCCAGACACATTTGCTGACAGGTCTACACGCTCCTTTAAGTGGTGTCTCAGCCTTCTTCGTAAACACCCGAAGGAGTGCGAGTAGGGTCAGTAACCTTGTTAAAAGGGGGAATAACAAGGCTGGGAATGGTGGCTCATGCCTGTAGTCCCAGCGCTTCGGGGACTGAGGCAAGAGGATTGTCTGAGCCTAGGGGCTGAGACCAGTTTAGACAACTTGGCAAGACCTTGTCACTATAATAAATAAAAAAAATTAGCCAGGCATGGTGGTGCACGCCTATGGTTCTGGCTACTTGGAAGGCCGAGGCGGAAAGATTGCCTGAGCCCAGCAGGTCGAGGTTGTGGTGGCCATGAGTGTGCCACTGTACTCCAGCCTGGGTGACAGATTGAGACTCCTGACTCAAAAAAACCCAAACAAATAACATCGGAGGCAACTGCAGCTGCAGGGACTCCAGCACACCGTGTGCCGTGACAAGCCCCTTTCACTCTGGCCTTGAGCTCCGGCAGCACTGCAGGTGACGGGTGGGCTCTGCCGCAACCTGCTGCCCTCAGGCGGCACCCGCAGCATGCCCTCGTCCGGCAGCCGCCAAGAGTCGCACTGCTTCTTGTGTCCAGCTGGCATCAAGCTCTCAGCCAAGAAGGGGCATCTTACTGCACTGGAATTTGCAGCCCTCTGTTTAGCAGAGGAGTGCAATGCATCGCCATGGAGACTGGTTTTTTAGATGTTCAGACATTCTGTTGACATACTTACAAAAAACAGACATAAATGAAACCAAGAACTTACTTCCTTAAACTCCGCTTTTAAGACAGCATGCCCCAGAGTAGTTTGCCACTGAAGCTTCCGACCACTGTGTTTTCCAAGATAAAATGCCTTAAATACTTCCTGAAGTTTAACCATCTGTCACATGGAGGAAAACAACCGTTAATGCCACTGACCCATACACTTTAAAATAGTAAACCGTATGCTAAAGTGTACTTTACCACAACTAAAAAACCAGCACGATAAGCTTCAAGCTTCTTTTGCCAGAAAACAAAAAAGTACCCAGAAAATGATGTGGGCCTGTCAAGAGCAAAGGAGCCAGCTTAGAGGCGGCCCACGGGCCAGGCCTGGGCAGCACGGCATCAGAGTAAGTCCATCAGCATCCACGCGTTCTCAGCGGTGAAGGGAGAGAACATTCGATGGGGTGGGAGGGAAGGCAGAACAATGATGTCTAAACACAGATGGCGGAGGCTGGGAACACATGCCCCTTCACCAAGGTCAGAACGGGCTCAGGCAGGAAACGCCAGCAGGTGACAGATGAGAAGCCGCCCAAACACAAACAGCACAGCAGAGAGGCTGGCATCCAACAGACTCTGCCCAACGTCACCAAGATGCTGGGGCAAATGGGTGCCAGCCCTGGTGGGGACATGGGTGTCCGGCGGGTCCGTGCAACCTGAGCCCATCACGAGGGAACAGCGATGACAAGTGCTGCTCTCAGCATGGTCCAGGGCTGGCTCAGGGACGCTTCTGAGGCAACAGCCAGAACTGGGATGAGACTGCGACTCGGGGCCAGTCTCCTCTGTGTGATGCTTGGGGCATGTCTCAGGAAACACCCTCCGGGGTGTCGAGGGGAGAGGGCGGGGCGCAACCCGGATTCAGATGGGCCAGGAACTTTGCACAGGGACAGAGGACGGCCCCGGCTCGCGGCTGACACCGACTGGCTGGGTGTGTGCCACTCTTGGAAGTCCGCCCACTGTCCGCATGTCTGGCCAGGGGGCTCGGAACAGCCTCAGGAGCAGGGTCTCCCCAAGCTTCTCCCCTCCGCCCCCCGCCCCTCTCCACCGAGGTGAGTCACAGAACCAGGAACTCCTCCCTCCCCAAGGCGGGTCCCAGGACCTAGAACTCTTCCCGCAAACCTTCTGCCTCTCTGCCCAGGAGCTGGCCACAAAGAAGCTCCCAACTTCCCTCGCGACTGCCGGCTGCATCGGGAGGGGGGAGGGCTGGGACAGGCTGTGCGGATCCGACTCCGCTCATTCCACCCCGCCCCCAATCGCTCCTCCTCACCTAAGGCCACTCTCCAACCCCAAGCCTCAGTGGACGGTCTCCCGGGTCTTCACTGCCGAAGGCTTGCTCCCATATCAGGCAAAACACCACCCAGACAACTTGCTAGGCTTTTCTCCCACTAAGTGGTCTTTTGCATGGGAGTGTTGGTCGTGACCCTTGTGATGGCCGAGGAGGGGGTCCCACCGTTCCCTCCCCACTGCTCTCAGTCCCTCGTCCCCTCTCTGCTGAGGAAGAACCACTCATCTTTGAGGCCAGGCTCAATTGCCACCTTCTCCAGGAAGCCTTCCCTGCTCCACACTGGAATCAGCCCTTTCCACTGGGTCCAGTGCGTGTGCCGTTTCCCCTGCTGGATTCTAACTTCACCGAGCAAGGATTCTACCCATCTGAAAACACTCCACATACTGAAAGTCCTGGCCGACACAGAAGGCCCTAAATAATGCCACTCCCAAGAGTTGAGCCTTGTCTGCGGTGGAAGGAAAGGGCAACCAGACAATTAGCTCCCACAGATCACCACGCAGTAACTTCCAAGATAAGAATCCCCCCTTGCTGACAGCTTCCCTGAAGGTCAGAAGGTGCCAAAGGCAGTGTTGGAAGGAGTCGCGATTACAGAAGCCATCACCTTCATTTTCTGCTTTCCAGAGGCTGCAATGTTATGCTTTTTTTGAGTTGGGGTCTCCCTCTGTCACCTAGGCTGGAGTGCTGTGGTACAATCATAGCTCACTATAGCCTCGACCTCCCAGGCTCAGGCGATCCTGCCTCAGCCTCCCAAGTAGCTGGGACTACAGGCAGGACACCCAGCTAATTTTTTGATCATTTTATAGAGAACAGGTCATGCTATGTTGCCTAGACTGGTCTGCAATTCCTGGGCTCAAGGGATCCTCCAGCCTCAGCCTAAGTGCTGGGATGACAGATGTGAGTCACCACACCTGGCCGGCACTCTGATTTTTGACTGAGTGGGCGACACAAAAAACTTCTCATTAAACACTTCCTGAGGGCAGCGTGTCTGTACCTGGCGCGGTGTGACAAGGGAAGCAGGACATCATCTTTGACACTCACCTCTGGAGTTAAATGCACTTCCATGGGCGTGTACGTCGGCCAGTATCCCATTGTAAGTATATTTACCGTGAGGTCTATGGGGCCTGGGTCACTTTGATTCTGCATATGCTAAAAACAAAGAAATTCAAGATACAATAATTATTCAGAATATCATCAAAAGTAATTTTTTTTTTGAGTTGGAGTCTCACTCTGTTGCCCAGGCTGGAGGGCAGTGGCACAGTCACAGCCACGGCAGCCTCGACCTGCAAGGCTTGGGCAATCCTTCCACCTCAGCCTTCCAAGTAGGTGGAACTATAAGCGTGTGCCACCGCGCCCAGCTAATTTTTATCATAGAGATGAGGTCTCGCCCAGTTGCTCAGGCTGGTCTCCGAACTGGTGGGCTCGGGCAATCCTCTCGCCTTGGCCTCCCAAAGTATTGGGATTATAGGCATGAGCCACCACGCCCGGCCTTAACAAAGCAGATGTTTCCAAAGCAGAGTTTCATCTGCATGTGCTGCATTTCTCTCCACCCTGGAACATTCCCACAAGGCTCAGCACGCCTTGGCACTGGGGTCGCTCTTCTTCCTGGTGTGTCACCATCCAGCTCACACAAACACCTTGAGGGACTCTTTTTCTTTTTAAATTTATTTGGGAGACGTTCATAGTGTACTTTTCCTTATCTGGTTTAGAGCAGAACATGTTTTTTGAGTTGGAGTCTCACTCCGTCGCCCAGGCTGGAGCGCAGCGGCACGCTCACAGTCACCCCAGTGTTGCCCTGCTGGGCTCTGGCGACCTTCCGCCCCCTTCCAAGTAGCCCAGTCGATTTTTGATTTATCGTCGAGATGAGGTCTCGCCATGGTGCCCAGGTTGGTCTCGAACCTGAGGCTCTAGGCAATGCACTCGCCTTGGCCTCCCAGAGTGCTGGGATGACAGCCTGAGCCACCGAGCCCGGCCTGAACACGCGTTTCAGACTTCAACGGCTCCGGGCTACAAGTGGCTTTGGCGAGGTGCTTGTGTGGTGGTGCAGATGAGGCTCTGAGCGCGCCCACCCGCGCAGCGCTCATGGCCCACGGGGAGTTCTTTGTTCCTCACCCACCTCCCCCTTCCGGGTGGGCCTTCCGGAAAAGCTGTCCCTGAAGAGGCCCCACTCACCTGCTTGAAGTGCACCATGATGTCCTTTGAAAGTTCCATGTCCTTGAACATGCCTTCCAGCTTGCTGGTGAAGGCCGCCCCACACTCTGAGCACAGCAAAGGAAGGGCGAGAACACAGCGGCTTGGGGGGCCGCCCCCAGCTGCGAGCCTGTCCCACACGGCCACCACGGGGAGCCCCCCCACAGCCCCCGTGGAGAGCACCCAACAAGGTCACTGCAGAGAGCTGTCCCCCACACGCTTACCGTGCTTGAGCTTTGACAACATCGACTTTTCAGCATCGACTGAGGCACTTTTTCCAACCAGGAGTCTTTTGGCCAAATCTTTTTTATAAAATGCTTCGAAGACGTCTTTACCTGGTATAACCAGGAGCGAATAACATAAGACACCAGAGCGTGGACATGCCACGACTTCCCCTCCTGGACACCCTCAGCAGTGCTCACGCCAAAGCCAACCGGCTCTGCGGGTGGGGAGCCTGCACGTGAAGCTTCCTCGTGGAGACAGGTGCACAGAGACCTCCCCGCAGCACCGCTTTTCCCAAGTGCCCACGTCCACTGGAAGAGCTCCCCGCGCGTCTCACCATGAATGAACCTGAATATGATCATGATCTTGTCCAGCGTCCGCTCCAGCTCCTCGTCCGTGGCTTCTTTATTGCCCGCTCTCAACTTGGAGTCCACATGCTTTGCTGAGAGAGGCAAGAAACGTCAAACAGTGAACACTCCAAATGAGAGAGAAGCAGCAAGCAACACCGGGCAGCAACATTCCAGAACATTTCCAAAATGACGCCATCACATGACAGAAAGGCCAATGTCCCCTTTCCTAAGTTAGGTGCTCTCAAGTCACACGGTGAGGAAATACTTCCTCAAACGTTAACAGAGCCAAGGACTGAGTTTTTTTTTTCTTTTTTTGAGTTGGAGTCTCACTCTATCACCCAGGCTGGAGTGCAGTGGCATACTCACGGTCACCGCAGCCTCGACCTGCTGGGCTCTGGATCCTTCCGCCTCAGGCTTCCAAGTAGCTGGAACTACAGGCGTGTGCTACCACCCCCGGCTCATTTTTTGATTATTGTAGAGACGAGGCCTGGCCAACTGTATAATGCCCCCCACATTCCATCATGCCTCCTCAACAATCTACACAGCTAACTTAGTGTCATGTTGCGCCTTCTTTGCCCCTTTCCTCCTGTAAATTAAAAAAACTCTCACTGACTAGTAAAAGCCTGTGAATTCTAAAATATATTTTGATATTATCAAGAATTAACCGTGCACAATGGGTACAATTTAAATACAGCATTTTAAAATATGCTACCATTTGAGATCCCTCTACTTTTACAATATTTTAATACTGATTGAAGGCTGCAGAGATGGTGACTAAAGAATGTGTCATGTTAAATACTCTCCAGGGATTCACAAAAGCTCTCCTTATGCAGGCATTCTTCCGTAACAAACCTTCTGAGTCTAATTTCTGAGCAGAAATCACTTGCCTGTAATTAAGAGGGAGAATTTCCCTCATTTTCCTTTACAGAAATGCCACCCAACACACACATGTGTAGGTGTGGGAATTTTTTCTTTTGAGAAAGCAGGATTTGAGAGGAGAGAAAAGATCCCACAGTGGGAGGGGACCTGAAGGGGCTGCCCCAGACTTTTTTTCATGGGAGCCCTCATAAGACTTGATAAAAACCCTTCCTCCACGCTCTCCGTGAGAGGCTCGAATGTTTTGGGAAGAGACTTGCTTGAGCTTTGCCTGATCTTCCCAAACTGAGGAAGGGTCCAGAAGCAAGTGTTTGTACCGATGAGCTCTGCAGGCTTGTTGGGCCTCTTGTTGATGAACGTCTCGAAGGACTCCTTCATGAGGTTGACGAACCTCTCATTCTTCTGGAAGCACACCTCGATCACGTGGTCCACCTTGTCCTTGAAGTCCAGCAGGTCCGGTACCATGTCCTTGTCCTTCTCAGGGTTGATGACGATCGCCGTCCCGAAAGTCTGGAAAGTCAACAAGCGCCAAGTGAGCAGCAGGCTTATGACGCCTCACAGGACTTCCTTCTGCCATCACACAAGCAGGACAGGTCACACACGCTCGCCACTCGGGGCACTGACAACTCGTGTTTTTGGGGAGTCGGAGTCTCACTGTCGCCCTGGCTGGAGTGCACTGGCACGCTCATGGCCACCACAGTCTCCACCTGCTGAATGCGGGTGACCCGCCTCAGCCTTCCAGGTAGCTGCAACTACAGGTGTGCACCACCATGTCTAGCTAATCTGTTTTCATTTACTCTAGAGACAAGGTATTGTCACGTCGCCCAGGCTGGTCAGGCAGTCCTCTCACCTCCGCCTCCCAAAGTGTTGGGACGACAGGCGTGAGCCACTGCACTCGGATGAACACAGCTTTTTTTTGAGTTGCAGTCTCACTCTGTCGCCCAGCCTGGAGCACAGTGGCAGGCTCCCGTCCACCGCATCCTCGACCTGCGGGGCTCCAGTGATCCTTCCGCCTCAGCCTTCCAAGTAGCTGGAACTACAGGCGTGCGCTATCACGCCCGACTAATTTTTGATTTATTGTAGAGACAAGGTCTCGCCAAGTTGCCTGCGTGGGTCTTGAACCCACAGCCTCTGGCAGTCCACTCGCCTCGGCTGGGATTACAGGCTGAGAATACAGTTATTAATGGATTCTTTTTCTGGTGGGCGGTGGGGACTGGTCTTCATAGACGACACACAGGGACTCACATGTCACAGACGCACATAAGGCATGTTATTGATAGATGCCAAGGAAGTAGGAGGGAAGGTGTGTGGGACAGACTTAACCTTGACTCTATACCCTTTTATGTGACCTACATTTAAAATAACGCACATTGGCCAGGCACAGCGGTTCAAGCCTGTAATCGAGCACTTTGGGAGGTTGAGGCGAGAGGATTGCCTGAGTCCAGGGGTTTGAGACCAGCCTGGGCAATTTGGTGAGACCTCATCTCTACAACATATCAAAAAAAAAAAAGAAAGAAATTAGCCGGGCATGGTAGCATGCATTTGTAGTTCTGGCTACTTGGAAGGCTGAGGCAGAAGGATCACCTGAGTCCAGCAGGTCAACACTGGGGTGGCCATGAACGTGCCACTGCACTCCAGCCTAAGCAACAGAGTGAGACTCTGACTCAAAAAATAAATAAATAACACATTTAAATAAAACGCACATCTACCACAAGGGCCAGCCTGACTTTGAGGACAGCATGCTACTCGAACACCAAATACTCTTCCTGCTACAGCATAAGCGCTTACTGTTATCTGACACTCACTGATATTTATCACTCAGACTGAAAACTGCCACGGCAACCTTCTAGTGTCCAGCACACATGCCCATGCCCGGAAGACCCTCGCACTGGCAAAGACCTAACCCTTTACTGCTGACTTAGTGTACTAGGTTCTAACTTTCAACTCAACTTCACTGTACCAAATCTTGGGGGGCTGTGTGTGGGGAGGGCTTTCCACAGGCAGATCAACACCTGAGTTCAGGCCTGACTATTCCATAAAGCAGTGTGCATGCTTTCGTTTCTTTTCTTTTTTTTTTTTCTGTGTTGGAGTCTCACTCTGTCATCCAGGCTGGAGTGCGGTGATATGCTCACAGCTACTCCAGTGTCCACCTGCTGGGCTCCGGCGATCCTTCTGCCTCAGCCTTCCAAGTAGCCGGAACTATAGGAGCACGCTACCACGCCCGGCTAATTTTTGATTTATTGTAGAGATGAGGTTTCGCCAAGTTGCCCAGGTGGGTCTCGAACTCGCAGGCTCAGGTAATCCACTCACCTCGGCCTCCCAAAGCGCGGGATGACAGGTTGAGCCATCGAGCCAGTCTCATTTCTCTTTCTTATTTAGTTGAAATCTTTCCTATTTTTATTTTAGAATCATGGGCTCGCCCGAGGATTTACCTCAATAGGGGATGCATGCAGGTGAGGTTTGGGCCCCTTGGTCTTTACTGAGACCATTACAGACGTGCACACGTACATCAACGAAGACTCCTCTCCTCTGCATTGCTTCCCCGAGCTACAGACCAGGCTCACAACTGGGACACTGACGCTGGCCCAGCCCCATCTTCCCCAGGGAGGCCCAGTTTTCCATGCAGCTCGCTGGTGTGGACAGCACCTTCTCGACCACGTCATCCCCTGGGCGGGTCGGCGTGACCTGTACCTGCACCCCCGTGGCCAAAACACCAAGGATCCAGCACAAGGACCCCCCCGCTGCCTTCTGTCACCACACTTCCACTTCCACCCCATCCTCAAACTGCTAACTGCATCTGTCCTCCATTTCTAAATGTTATCATTTCAAAAGTATTACATTTGGCCAGGTGTGGTGGTCTGTGTCATCCCAGCACTTTGGGAGGCAGAGGAGAGAGGATGGCTTGAGCCCAGGAGCTCGAGACCAGCCTGGGCAACACAGTGAGACCTTACAAAAAAACAAAAAACTAGCTGCGTGTGTTGGTGTGTGCCCGTGGTCCCGGCTACTCAGGAGGCTGAGGGGGAAGGACTGTCTGAGCCCAGGAGGTTGAGGCTGTGGTGAGCTATGATTGTGCCCATGCACTCCAGCCTGGGTGCCAGAAAGTGATGAGACCCCAACTCAAAATAAAGTTACGTGAATGGAATGATGTGGTACGCAAACTTTTGGGGACTGGCTTTTTTTTTGGCTCAGCACAATTCCCTGGAGACTTCATTTACCTTTTCACCCTAGGATCTGAAAACAGTCACCAGCAAGCAAACCACAAAGGCTTTCGCTGGGCGTTCATCATTTCGGGTGAAAGACACCTCCCAGGCAACTGGGACATACTGAAACACTTGCGATCTGTCTAGGGGTACTGACGCAAACCTCAGTTATTTCCATTTCCATCAGCCCCGCCTGAGATGACGCCCATTCAGTGTCACCATCAGGTGTCTGGGTCTCGGCACCACTGACATTCTGTGCCAGGCAACTACCGGTGGTGGTGGGGCTGTCCTGTTCATCTGGCAGTACCAGGGCAAGCGGCACCCTGTTGTGACCACCAGAAATGTCTCCAGACACGGGCCAGCGTCCCCCAGGTGGGGTGGTGCCCTGGGCCAAGGTCCCAGTCTTCAGCGAGGCCCTGTATCAGCACCAAAGGACGGTGCCCCTTGCAGACACAAGAAGCCGAAGGTAGCAGCCAAGGAGCCACTGGAGAATGGGCTGAATCAGGCACGTTAAGGGCACAAAAAAAGTGCTTTAGAAGTGTGAAAGTAAGAGCATAATAAGCCCTAACTTTGGATTGGTAGGAAATAGGAACACAGACCCAACTGGAATGCCAAATATGCCAGCAGTTCTCACTGAACAAAGGCACGAAGAGATCAAGTCTGACAAACAGACTTACAACAGTTACTTTCTGAAAAACCACAACTGTTATCTTAAAGAACTTACCTTAAAAAACGAATTCACACAGGTGACCTGGAGGCAAACAGAGGCACCCCCCCACAGGCAGTGCCTCTGCTGGGCCCAGAGGGTTCTGGGAAGGGCCCCACCCCTTTGCCCCTTCACCCCTTGCACGGAGCGCCTGAGCACAGCCCCGGGCCCCACCTACCTTGATGTACTCGCTCCAGTGGTGCAGCAGCGCCTGCTGTCCGCCTCTCACCCGGCTGAACAGCTGGTACATCTGCGTGAGATCCGGCACTCTGTTCTCGTCCAGCAGGTGGTCGAGCCCTGGGCGAGCAGGACACGTGAGCAGACGACAGCGGTAAGTCGACATTCATAAACATGACACTGGAAGTCAGCAGGTGCCACAAAAACGCTAATACCGTAACTTAAAATTTAGTGAGTACAGATATCACTTTGTTTCTGAACAGGCAAGTTGAGTTCCTTAAATATCTGAGACAACCCCATCAGGCGAATTTCATTTTTTCAGAGCATGTTGGGGAATGTTGTACTTATTTCTACATGTCAGTAAAGCCCTCTTATTTCACTCAAGTGGCAATGTTCAAAAAAACATTCATACCAGCTGTAACCTGGGAAGTTCATGATTCCTTCTTATTTAATCATTCGGTCAGAAATTTTTTTTTTTGTTTGTTTGTTGGAGTTGGAGTCTCACTCTGTTGCCCAGGATGGAAGAATGTAATGGCATGCTCATGGCCACCACGGCTCTGACCCACTGGGCTCAGGAGAGCCTTCTGCTTCAGCCTTCCAAGCTGGAACCATAGGTGCGTGCCACCACACCTGGCTGATTTTTTTAATTTATTGTAGAGTTGAGGTCTTGCAAAGTTGCCCAGGCTGGTCTTGAAACCCCAGACTCAGGCAATTCTCTTGACTTTGCCTCTGAAAGGGCTGGGATGACAGGTGTGAGCCACTGCACCCGGCCAGAAAATATTTTTATTAAAGGATAAGCTAGCAAATCTAGTTTTTAGCTGATTAATTTTATGCACAACTAAAGCGTGAGACAAAACATCATCAGACATTTTGATGTGTTCAACATAGCATTTTAATAAGTTTCTATTGCTTTAGATATTTCAATTTTGTATCTTCCAAAACCAAAGCATGATAAGAAAAGCTTTCGTGAAGTAGTTTCTAAACATATGCTTAATTATAACTACAGAGAGGCAGCCATGTCAGAGCAGAAACTGTGAGCAGACCTGTGACTCCGAAAGCTTCAGGTCCTCCCCTGAGGCGGCACGAGGTCGAGTGTGAGGTGGTTGGGGACGTGGCCCAGGACACAGGGCCCCCGGCAGGCCTAGTGCTCAGTTACAGCTGCACGGGCTTGTTTCTCCAGATGACATTTTGGCTGCCTGACACAAACAGGCTTTTACTTTGTCATTTTCATCTTACTGAGGCCTCGAGTAATGTCTTCTGTAAGACTTCACAAAATAGCCGGTGTGATTGCCCCCACCTGTCACCCCAGCACTTTGGGAGGCCAAGGCAAGAGGATTGCCTGAGCCCATCTGTTCGAGACTAGCCTGGGCAATGTGGTGAGACCTTGTCTCTCTAAAAACAAAATTCACAAAATATAACGTTTCAGTTTTAAAAATGCTTCTAATAAAATGCAAAGTAAGCTTTCATACACATAATTTAACATTTTCTTGAAACAATTTCACTCACCAAAGTATGCACTAAAACACTTTATGCAGCAAATTTCTATTTACCTGAAGTCCTCTTTTTCTTATAAACTGACTCATTTAAAAAAAAAAAACACCTGATACACATTCTGAATGCATCTGCTTTTAGATGGACATGTGAAATGCTACATACAGCCGTGTGAGTTTCAGTGTGGTCTAAGTTGAAAATATATCCAGATTGGAACACAGGCTCTCAGTTTGTAAGCCATGTGAGTCCAGGAACCCATATCTGGCTGTGTTTTTTTTTTTTGTTTTTTTTTTGAGTTGGAGTCTCACTCTGTCGCCCAGACTGGAGTGCAGTGGCCGGGTCGACCTGCTGGGCTCCGGCGATCCTTCCGCCTCAGCCTTCCAAGTTGCCGGAATTACAGGCACGCGCTACCACGTCCGGTTGATTTTTTTGATTTATTGTAGAGATGAGGTCTCGCCTGCCCAGGCGGGTCTCGAACCCGCGGGCTCAGGCAATCCACTCATCTCAGCCTCCCAAAGGTGTGGGATTCCAGGCTGAGCCATATCTGGCTGTTTTGAGCCTCAGTTTTCTGATTTCCCAGGACGGTTTTTTTTTTCTTTCCTTTTTTTTTGAGTCACAGTCTCACTCTGTCACTCATTTTGAGTCATAGTCTCATTCTGTCACTCAGGCTGGAGAGCAGTGGCATGCTCATGGCCACCTTAGCGTCAACCCGCCGGGCTCCATCAATCCTTTTGCCTTAGCCTTCCAAGTAGCTGGAAGGACAGGTATGTGCCACCATGCCCGGCTCACTGTTTTTTTTTTTTTAATTTATTGTAGAGAGGTCTCGCCCAGTTGCCCAGGCTGGTCTTGAACCCACAGGCTCAGGCACTCCTCTCGCCTTGGTCTCCCGAAATGCCAGGCTTCTCAGGACTGTCCTCAGACTAAAGGAGATGAACACGAAGTGCAGCTGTCCGCACTGGTAGGCACTTAGCAGTGTTCGCGCTCTCCGCCCAGCTTTGTCCTGGCTTCCCCGTCAATTGTGGAAATGCCATTATCTGGCAAGGTAGAACCCAAGCTGGATCGTGGCAGACACTCTTCAGGGCTTCCCCAAACCAAACTTGGAGGTATCCAATGGCTTGCAAGAGAGCCCGTGGTTTTCAGATACGCTGAGGATGACCTTCCAATGGGAACACTGAACTCTTTAGCTACGAAAAGTCACAAGAAGGACTAAAGTGTTATGGACGCCAGACTGTGCTTGTTATGACTTCAGAGATTTCGGCACATTGTGCAGGCCAGAAATAAAAACAACACAACCAAGACTGAGCTGAAGAAATCGCGCCGACTTTAAGGGTGCAGACTCCCGGGAGCCAGGCTGCGGGCCACCATGAGGGATGCTGTGGAAACTAGCTGTTCCCGCGCAGACCGCATGCTCTTCCCCTTGGGAAAGCCAGGAGAGAGAAGCGTTCTCTGCTGATGAGATCACCCAGTCAGGGCCCACCTGACACTGAGATGCACCTGCGGTGCAGGCCAGGGAAGACTCAGGAAATTGAACGGCTAAAACAACTACCGGCCCGTACCCACACCCGCCTCAGCTTCCGGCCTATCACCTGTGTCAGTCGGGGAGTGTATGAAAAGCGACCCGACAGGAAAACGTGTCTGAGCTGCGCGGCTTCCACCTGGGAGCACGGGCCTCCAGCACCTGCATCCCGCCACCTGCCTGGGGGTCTGCAGTGCACACACAGCTCCACCAGGTGCCTTGCACTGACCTCGGAACCAACGTCTCAAGAGAGACAACCTTCACAGTGGTCTTGTGAAAGTGACACGTTCCTACGCTCACTGCTATTTAAGACATTTCCCTTACTCCTGATGAACGAAGGATTATTCCGTTTAGTTCACACAAAAGTCAAGGAACCTACCTTTCTGCAGAATTGCTGTTAAATGTTCTCCTAGCAGCTGTTTCTCCACACAAGCAATCAGAGGTTTCCTAAGGAGGAAAAAAGAGTCAGCGTTAGAAGTCAAGTCTCAAGAAGAAGCTCTGACTCGCTGCTGCAGGTGACGGGAGGGTCTGCCCGCAACACATTTGGTCTGTAGCCAGCCAGAGACCAAAGGGTTAAGGCGCATTCGCTGCACGCAAGTGGACGATGACATTGCTGTTAAGGACTCTGACGTCCCTTCTAAAAACAAGCCCTACCACCCTGGACAACTGGCAAGGCCTCTTCTCTGCAATAAATCAAAAATCAGCTGGGCGTAGTAGCATGCGCCTGTGGTTCCGGCTCCTTGGAAGGCTGAGGTGGAAGGATCGCCGGAGCCCAGTGGGTCGAGGCTGCAGTGGCCGGGGGCGTGCCGTGGCCCTCCAGCCTGGGCGACCGAGTGCACTCCAACTCACAAAATACAAACAAAATAAAAACAAGCCCTCCAGGTGTGGCCAGGGCAGAGGGACACGGAAGCGAAAGGCACGTGCGCCCAAGCACTCCCAGCTGGTTGCCGCCTGCCCCAAGCCTGGGGCCAGGGGTCGCTTCAGGCCTGTCTCCCTCGTGTGGCATCTCCTGTCACCTGCCTCCAAACTGGAGACCTGTCTTCCAAAGCAGAGGGGAGGGCCCGAGAGCGGGCCGAGTGGGTCTGTCCGGTTGTCTGCAGAGTCACGCAACGATCAGGTGAAGCTGCGGTCACTGACACGCAGCCCCGCAAGGCCACGGGTCTGGGGATCTCCTGTGGCAGACGACCCTTCTCCCAACGAGTGCAAATGCTGGTCTCTCCGCCCCTTCTCCCCCGTCTTTCCTTCCCTGGCGTGGCCTTCCAGTTCATTCTCGGCCCTGCTACCTCTGAGGCTCAGAGACTGAGCCACGGCCCTTCTGGAGTTCAGACTGGTACCTGCAGACCCTGGTGATCCTTCCTACCCACAACCCTGCCCCAGCCCACCCTCTCCTGGCCCTGCCCAGCCCACCCCCCACCCCAGCACCGGCCCTCCAACCTGAGCACCTCTCGGCCCGTTTTCTCCCTTCCTCACTGAGCAAAGTCCCCCTTGTCACGGAAGCCCCCTCGGGGATCTGCAATGCGTGGCCCCACGTACACAGAACTTATGCTCCCTGGCTTTCTCTTTTTATCTACACCTCAGTTCTCTTAGATTTTGTTTTGTTTTTGTTCTCTTCTGCTTTATTCCAAGGACTGCTGGCTTTTGCCATCTTCCCAAGCCTTCATTCAGTTTCACACGGAACTTCTAAATGTGCCATCTTCTGGAACTCTCCCAGCAGCCCCGTGGAGAAGGACAAGGCAGACACTCCACCTTCCCCTCTGAACACAGGAGTCGGAGCCCAGGGGGCCGTGGGCCTGCAGCCTTGTGGCACCATGGCTTCGTCGACTCGCTTCTCTCTGTGGTCTCCGCTGTGTCTCCCTGGTGGCCTCTTCCCAGCGTCTGTGGGCTCCTCTTCTGCTGTCAGTTAGCGGAAGCACGCTGGAGGCACAACAGGACCCTGGGTCTTCCCCAGGAGCCTGGAAGCGACGCGGACTCTCCTCTCAGGGCTTGTTTGCGCTCTGCATTCTGTCAGGAAGCCGTCCCTCTGCGTCCTGCACGTGCTACCGTCTTACTGTCCTCACCGCTTCGCTCTCTCCTCGGCCTCTGCCCCCACCTCTCACCCCATGGACCAACACTCCGTGCCTGGCACAACGCTCCCATCTTTCCCTTCTTCTTTCCCTGCTACTCATCAACCTCAGGTTTAAAGGGGAAAAAAAAAGACAAAAAGAGAAAACAACACGACAGAACCACAAACAGAGATCAAGCCATCTGAATTGTCACATGGTGACTCCTGGCTTGAGGCTGGGTTTAGAAAAAAACAGACAAAAACAGTTACATATCATGTCTAACAAGAAGCTCACGACTGAAAGAGCCTCCTCTTCTCCACTGCCGTCCACAGAATCCCTCGTCTCGAGACCCACAGACGCCGAGTGTCTCAGCTGGACTCACTCGCTCTGGGCAGTAACTCCCGGCAGGGCACTCAGTAAGAAGTGACCTTTGTGGGCGCCAAGTAATGATGACGAACATGAGCAAAGTATGTTTGGAGCAAAAGTACTCTGGCTAGAAGTGAGCGAACTGACAGACACCATGGATCCCGACGACCGGCCGGGCCAGCCCGCTACCTATGGCGAAGCCACAACGTGAGCGCACGTGCCCAGGACTTACTGTGTGCTGTGGTCTAAGTACGTGATCACGCGGTCTCCCTCTTCTTCTAATCGTTTACTTACATGGTTTAGGTATTCTGGAACCTTCCAAACAAAACATTGAAACGTATTAGCAGCAAGAAGATTCTCGACGTCAGCCAAGAAGGTGAAATTTTGCTTTCCTTCTACCACTGTTTTACAAAGAATAGCTACTCAAGCCACATACGAAGGTGCGGGAGCGGGGCTGAGGCGGGGCGGGAAGCGTGTCTGTAGGGATGTGGGAGGCGGCGGCCTGGAGACTCGCCTCCCAAGCAGGGCCCTCCCGCCTACCCCCGTGACTCCACGGTTCGGGTCCCCTCTCTGGGCCCACCGGCAGGGGAGCGCAGCGCCTGCCTGGGAGGGAGCGGAGGGAGCCCGGGGCAGCCCCCGCCCATACCAGCTGGCTGGGCAAAGGTGAGTCAGCAGACGGCTGTTCACTTGGGGACACCAAGCATCACGGCTGCTACACCTGTCTCCTGGGAGCACATGAGTTCTGCCACAGCCCAACAGCACCAGGGCCGCACGGGGCTCTGTGGTTCTGCCCCAGGTGGCTGTGTCCGGGCCCAGTACCAGACACAGAGCTTCCTCACCAAAACCTCGGTATAGGAACCAGCAGTCAGGTCCACCAATGAGCTGACACGTCCCACTTGGGTGACAGTCCATTTTGGGGGCGGGGGGAGGGTGATCAAGACCACACACAGTACCTGGGAAGCTGGCTGTTAGCTGTATGTATCTTTCATACCTAGGATTTTTAAAAGTCCTCTTGCTTAAACTTGAGTTCCTTTATTTGTTTTAGAAGCTATCTTTCTGGTTTTCTATGTGTGGGAGGAGGGCAACAGCTTCGGAGTTGACAGAAAGCAACTCCGTTCTTACTACAGCAGGAACGAAGCTAATTCCTGGGAGTTTGGGCCAGATTATGCCTTTCAGAACATCTCCAACGGATGTTTGCATGTATGTGAAAAGACAAACATCAAGAAGCTACACCGGCCGGGCTCGGGGGCTCAGCCTGTCATCCCAGCACTTTGGGAGGCCAAGGCGAGTGGAGTGCCTGAGCCCGCGGGTTCGAGACCCACCCGGGCAACTTGGCGAGACCTCATCTCCACAAGAAATAAAAAATGAGCCGGGCGTGGCAGGGCGCGCCTGTCGTTCCGACTACTTGGAAGGCGGAGGCGGAAGGAAGGCCGGAGCCCGGCAGGTCGAGGCTGCGGTGGCCGGGAGCGGCCGCTGCGCTCCAGCCTGGGCAACAGGGTGAGACCCTGACTCAAAGAAAAGAAAAGAACTTACACCTAGACGGATGCACAGCTATGAAAAGGACGTCAGCAGCCCAGAAACACTTTGCTGTCTTACCTCTCTTTCTTGCATTAACCTTTGGCCTTCTGCAGCATACAGACAGTTAGTCTCTTCCAAAAATTTCAGTTCAAACGAATCTTTGTACACCTAAGAATGAGCAGAGGCATTGAGCCATGTCAGCAAAGAAGTCTGTGTCTTCAAGTGTGACGACATCCCGTTTCTGAGGGGACAGGCTGTGCTGCCCTGCACCAAAGAGCGGTCACCCCACTCCGCCACGGAGGCCCCGTGGTCAGCCAGGCTGCACTGCCCTTCCTGGGCCGCCACTCAGGCCCTCACCTTTCCCTCGGCACCACGGGCTGCGTCTGCGGGGTTCTGGGACCCTGCCCTGTGTCTGTGTGTTGCCAATGTTTCTTCCCAGCTTGCTACCTGATTCTGTCTTTAAGGTACATTTTCCATGAAAAAAATGCATTGCTTCCAAGGTAAATTATATTTTGATGCAGCACTTTCCAAAAATGCAACTTAATGCAAAAATATCCATGATGAATATCAGATAATAATAATAAAGACAGGATGGACGACAGTCACGACAGCATCACGAGAGCACAACAAACCTGAGTGGGCGCTTGTGAGGCCTACGTTTGTGTATGTTCTGCTGAGGGTACGTGACAGGCAACAAACAGCAAACAAACAAGGAGATGTGATCAACAATGATCAGGAACGTCACTGGGCACGGAGGTTCTTGCCTGCAGTCCCAGCACTAGGGAGGCCGAGGCGAGAGGACTGCCCGAGCCCACAGGTTCGAGACTAGTCCGAGCAACTTGGTGAGACCTTGTCTCTACAGTAAATAAAAAATCTAGCTGGGTGTGGTGGTGCACGCAGAAGTAGTTCCAGCTACTTGGAAGTCTGAGGCAGAAAGATCACCTGAGCCAAGCAGGGTGAGGCTGCGGTGGCCACGGTGTGCCCCTGTATTCCCATCTGGGCAACAGAACGAGACTCCGATTCAGGAAAAAAAACAAAAAAGGAAAAAGATCCGGAATGTCTCGAAAGAATCTCGCTCTGCGACAGAGGCCAGGGAGGGGGAGGAGGGCTTCCCAGGACAGGGCAGGTCCCGTGCTGAGACTCGGAGGCGAGGCCTGCGGGAGACGCCGTGTGGGGGTGAGTGGTCCCGCAGAGCCAGCGCAGCCAGCTCCTAGCCAGTGTGGCGTTTCACAGCGTCATGACTCGCCCCACGGGATGCTCGGAAAAGCAACACCCATTTACTGATCCACTCATTTTCTGTACAAACAGATCCATAGGAAAGTCACTCTTACAACCAGGGCTTCTGGAACGCGCTCTTGTGAAACGGGGGAGTGGGGGCTCTGTCTGCCAAGGAGCCACCCAGGAATGCCGGCCTCCGATGCGACAAGGGGCAGCAGAGAAGGAGAAGCCACGCTGACACCTCTCCGGACTCTGCGCTGCCTTTCCCCAACGGCCCCACCCTCCCGGGCCCCCCCGGGCTCTGGGACCCAAAGCCGGGGCGGCTCGTCTCGCCGGGCTCACCTGCAGGTCGGACAGCATGCCCAGCAGGCTGCGCAGCAAGCTCCGGTCCACGGCCTCCCCACTCCGCTCGCGCGCGATCAGCAGGAGGATGCCGGCGATGGTCTTGCTCTGCACCATCTTGTCGCTCACAATGTGGTTCCGGAAGAGCTCCAGCCCCATGTCCCTGCGTGGCAAAGAGCGGACACGCTTGTTTCGCGTTCTAGCCGTTCTGGGGAAGGCCCAGCCATACGCTGGGCGTCATCCCAAAGCGTTGCTCTGCTCGGGCAGCGCACCCAGGTGTGGAAAACTCTCCCGAAACCCTTGAACTTCTGGGCCAGTCTAGCACGCCTGGCATTTCCTTCCACTAACGGGGCCGTCCCATCTCCTGGGGTGCGGGCGGGTACCGAGCCACTCCCAGGTTGTGCTGCCAGACCACCAAACCGCTGCTGCACAAATCTGCCCGCGGCTCACGCCACCTCCCAGGGGCCCGAGGCTTGGGCCTTTGGGAACTGCCCACAGCCTCTGAGTGGGCGTCCCTCCCTCTCTGTTCCTCTGGGTGTCCTCCAGCAGCCTTCCTTCTCAGGGCCCTCTCCCTGGGAACAGAACGTGCAATGAGCCTTCCAGCCCACGGCCTGAGGAACACTCAGAAGACGACTGAGCGGCCCGAGTGCTTGAACATGAAGCCAGTCCTACAGAGTACTCTGTGCTTTGCCTGAGCACGCCTGCAACCCCTCACAGCCACCCTGTTTATGAAGGAAGGGGCAGAGACACAGCCAGTTCTCCTGAGCTGGCACCTTGGGGTAGCAGTGGTGGTGGGGGGCGCTGGCAGGAGTGGTCCTGTCAGTGGCGGTGTGGTCAGAGTAACAGTGGTGGCTGTTTGGTGGCGGTGGCAGGACTGTCAGCAGCAGTGGCGCTGGGCGGCGGCGTGCGGGGGGGAGAGCGCCCACCCGCCCTTCCTGCACACAGCACCACGAGGACCCTCTCCCGCTCCCTGGATGTGCTGCCCACCAGGCTCTCCTGCGCACATCGCCACAGTCAGAGTGGGAAGGCGCGGTGGCCAGCCACGAGGGCTCGAGCTGGCTGCCTGCATTTGATCCTGGTCCTGGGCGCTAGCTGTGTGACCCTGGGCCCTGGAACTCAGCCTCTTTGTGCCCTTCCTTTCTTGCCTGTACAACGGGGTCACATGTGGGAGTTCATGCCTGAAAATACCTGAAGCCGAGCCAGGCAGGCAGCCAGCGATGCCCACTCTACGTCGCCTGGCCCCACCCCTGAGCTCTGCTTCCAAAATGCCAGCCCCCAGACCCCTTGCCGGCCTCATAGCTCCAGCCCCCACACACGGGCACCTCTGGCCATGCTGCCCTCCTGGCTTCCACACGAGAGAGACCCGGCCACGAGCCTATCCTGTCTCCCTCTCTCAGCAACACCGCCCTGCTCCTGGTCAAAGTGTGGGCTGTGGCTCGCCCTCGGCCTCCTCCCCGGCCTCACGTGGAGCCGGCCAGCCTCTGGTGGTGACCAGTGGCTTCGTCTACGTGACGCTGCAAAGGATGCTTGTGGCTGATGTGACCTGGCAATGGCGCGAACGTGCTTACGAACTACAGGCTGAGACTGCAGAGCCCGGTGGCCTGGGAGGGGAAGGCACTACGACCCCCACGCCTTGGTTCTGTGAGTGGGGATGACAGTTCCCCAGCCATTAAACACCCTGGCAGGGCCCAGTCCCTTGCCCAGGGCAATGTGGGTTCACTGGCCACTATCACTGCTGCGACCATCCGGGCTGCCTCTGGTGGGCAGCGCCTGCCTTCCTGGAGCCCCGCGGTTCTGGCTGGCATCACCACCACAGGAGCTCGGAGAGAGACGGAGTTAAGAGGAGACCCAGAAAGGAACGCTCCCAAGTCACGTGGACGGAGGGGCACGGAAAGCCAGGACACAAGGGCTTCTTGGGGCCAGCAACTGGACACTGCCGCCACCTCAGGCAAGAGCTCGTCATGTACGCGGGAAAGGAGTCGCGCTGCTTGCATCGGGAGAGGGCGTGCTGGGTGGGGGCAGGAAAAGCAGACGGGCTCAAGGGGCACGAGGGGACGCAACCTCACTTCTCCTTTTCTCTCTTTTGAGTCGGGGTCTCTCGCTGTCGCCCAGGCTGGAGTGCAGTAGCACAATCACAGCTCACAGCAGCCTCGACTCCTGGGCTCAGGTGATCCTTCCGCCTCAGCCTCCTGAGGAGCTAGGACTGCAGGGGCATGTCACTGCATCCAGCTAATTTTTAAATGCTTTTTGTAGAGACGAGGTCTTGCTATGTTGCCCAGGCTGGTCTCGGACCCCTGGACTCAAGTGATCTTCCTGCCTTGGCCTCCCAAAGTGCTGGGATTACAGGCGTGAGCCACCGTGTCCAGCCTCCACTTTTACTTTTAAGTGGGAGAAGTTGTACACCAAAAGAGAACAAGAGCAAGGTAAATCAGAGGATGAGATGGACACCGCTTTTGTCGCAAATCAGCTTGGGGATGGTGGGACATGGCAGGACTCCCTGCATAAGGGCTGGAGCCTAAGGAGGGCCCCGGGAGTGGCCAAGCTGGGATGTCCTCGTCCCCTCAGGCTCCATGCCCAGCCACACTGGACGTGCCGAGAACACGGGCAGAGGTCCTCCCGCCCACTAACTGCATCTCCAGCCCTTCATGGCGACAGCTCCCTGCACCCTTCCTGCAGGCAGTCACCAAGCTGGTCCAGACCCTTGACCCTGGGCTGCCTTTGCTTCATTATAACGTTAAAAGTCCCACCCAGGTGAGAAATTGCAGCCCTGCTGTGTACATGCAACATGTGTGCAGGTTCCTTCTTGCACTCCACCTGGGCACTAGAAACCCTGCCCTCTCCAGGTCTGGGCCTGTGCTCTACCCGTGAGATGCCACGGAAGCCGTGTGCCTTCCACAACTGGGAGCAGCTTGCTCCTGTCCAGCCGTGCTCCCTGTAAGTCCCCGCATAAAGCCCACGTCTCATCCCTTGTCTCCGGGTCACTTCTTCAGCTTTTCAGACACAGTGACTTCTCTTTTGGGGTCCCTGGGGATCGGGCCTGACAGAGGTCCCAGCAGACACCCAGGCCAGCCAGGCTGTGGAAGCGGCTGAGGAGGGCAGCGCCCGGGCCCACAACTTGCGATGCACACGGTCCCAAGAAGACAACGCGGGATGGGCAGAAGAAACCTGCGTGAGCCCAAGGGTGCACCATGACCTCGCAGCAGCCAGCTTCTCTCTCAGCTCCGACTGCCACACTGAGTGCTCTAGGCTCAGGCGTCAGCCGTCAGCGAGACGGAGGCCCGGCACGTGCCCTCGTGGCCAGCAGCTCTGCAGCATGTGCCTGGGTGGAGAGGTGGGAGCCCCCAGAGCACTTCCAACTGCGTCCACGCGTGGGTTCCTGGGGATGCCCGGCCGGGAAGAGCAGCGCCAGCTGGCTAGAGCGGGAGCAACGTCTCCCCAGGCACCTGCCTGTCCCGGTGTCTCCATGACCCCTTGCACGGGCTGGAGGCCTCGGCATCCCAGGCCAAGACCCACCGGGGACCCCACCCGGGACCCCACTGTCCACACGAATGTTTTGGCTGCAACCAAACACCAGAAGGAACCAAGGCACGAGTCATCACCCACACTCCAGCGCAGCAGCCCGCCGAAGACCCGGACCAGACGGAGGCTCTGCAGACGAGGGCACTCACCAGATGGAAGGAAGCAGGGAGTTCTGGAGCACGTACGTGCGGTCCAAAAACAAGAAGATGCTCCTGACCATGATCTGCAGCCGGAAAGGAGAAGCGCTCACTCAGGATTTTGTTGGCAAAACAATCAAGACAAGACCTTCTGGGCCGTGCTGCTGTGCTGTCCCCAATCCAGCCACCGTCTCGTAGGGGGAAGGGGCTGCCTGCCAAGGCCTCGCGGCTTGCCTTCCCCAAGTGACTCTTTTCCCCTTGGCGCGACTTTCACCTCCTCGATACAGTCAGTCTGCTGTGGGGACTTCACAGCTTTGGGCCCAAAGGACGTCATTCACAGGTGCTCAGGTCCTGATGGGCAAGGCACCTCTTGCTAGGCGAGGGCGGTGCACCGAGCTCCTGGGAAGCTCACCCCCGTGACTCTACAGCGCGAGCAGAGCGAGGGACACGGGACAACAGCTGCCCCTGCACCCCTGCCACCCGGCCTGCTGCACCACACGGTGGGGCTCGTTCACGTGTTCCCAAAACCTTCCCAACGGACACGCACCTATTTCTAGCGTCTACCAGGCGCCTGGCCCAGAACAGAGACACAGCCATTTGTCTTCTACTTACCTCGTTTAGAAAACAAAAGAATCCAACCTACTTAGGTGAGCTATTAATACAGTCTTTTCTCTCAACTAAGTAACAGCCAGGTCCCACTAAAAACTCACAGACGCAAAATCAAACCAGAGGTGCTGCATCCCCCAAGCTAAGGGCCCAGCTGACTCAGGCTTGACTGTCAGGAGTCAGCTGTGACCAAGGACAGAGAGCGGCAGGGGTCCGCGCAGGAGTCTAAGGGTCTGTCATCTCTGTGGGGCCCAGGGACTGGAAGGCTCCCCGTTGGCAGCACCCGCAGGAACTGGACGGAGCTCTCCCCAAGCCTCTCCCTGGGGTTCAGCCTGGACAGAGCTCCCACCCCTCAGCCACGCCCATGCGGCGGAGGGGAGACCCAGGAGGCCACACTCTGATGAGAAAGCTACGGGGAGACGTAGGACTGAGCGAGGGCGCGCGCCCCAATACTCAGGGCGCGCCTGGGCAGCTGGGCCAGCGGCTGGGCAGGAGGGAGAGGACGGGGGGAGCCAGCAGGCGGGGATGTGGGGAACGTGACGGGGATGGGAGGACTCCGGAGGGAGCACACGCCATCTGGCAGAAGGTGAGCACGCTTACCATTTGTCTGCAGTGATCTTGCCAGCACGTGTTGATCTTCTTGAGAAATAAAACACTGTCTAGTGAGTCTGTACAGACCTGCTAAGGAAAATGTGAACAGCGCCGGGCAGCTTGAGGACTGCAATTTGAAGCCTTCCATTTCAGCCCATCTCCCCTGGATACTACACACCATTTAGACACGGGGATACTGACGGAAAGACCATGCTGTGGTTTGGACGTCCACACCCCTGTAACTCCACAGGCCGAAGCCCCTACTCCCAAGGGGACAGTGCGTGAAGGTGGGGCCTCGGGAGGCGACGAGGTCACGGGGGGGAGCCCTTCGCCCCGGCGAGGACCGTCTGCGCCCCAGGAAGCGGGGTCTCCCCAGACGCCAAGCCGGCTCCGGGATGGCGAGCCAAAGGCCTTTGGGGCTCATGAGCCCGGTCCACGGTGCGTCGCCACGGCAGCCCGGAGGGCTCGGCCGGAGCAGGAGTCCAGAACCCCGCGCGCGGCTTCGACGCATCCCCACCTCCGAGGCCTCCCGCCCCAGCACCCGCGACCGCCCCACCTCCCGCCGCTCCCGTTCGGGGTCCCTGCTCTCCCTTCCGGGCTCACCGCCAGACGCGTTCAGGCCCCGGCCCAGGGAGACTCGCGCCCGCATCGTGAGACCCTGGTCTGGGCGTCAGGGCGACCCTGGACGCAAGCCCCTGGCGGGCTCCCGGAGACGGCAGCGGGCCTGGCTAGAGAGCTGCGTCACGAGGAGTATTAAGGGCATGAGGGAACGGGCAGCTGGACCAGAAGACGGCCCAGGCCAAGCCTGATGTCCCGCCTCAACGACAGGTGGCGATCTACAGCACTGACACGAACTTCACTCACGGACCACCTCATTGTGAACGCCCTCGGCTGGACTCTCAGAACCTGTCTTTTAAAGAGAGGCTTGGCTGGGCTCGGTGGCTCAGCCTGTCGTCCCAGCACTTCAGGAGGCCGAGGTGAGTGGATGGCCTGAGCCCGCGGGCTCGAGACCCGCCTGGGCAACTTGGCCAGACCTCGTCTCTACAAGAAATCAAACATCAGCCGGGCGTGGTAGCGCGCGCCTGTAGTTCCAGCTACTCGGAAGGCTGAGGCGGAAGGATCGCCGGAGCCCAGCAGGTCGAGGCTGCGGGGGCCGGGAGCGGCCCCTGCGCTCCAGTCTGGGCGACGGAGGGAGACTCCGACTCAAAAAAAAACAAGAAATAAAAATAAGAATACAAAAATAAAGAGAGGCTCAAAGAGTAGTTTACAGAAAAAGAAACGCAGACAGAGACACCCACGGCGAGCGGCCACGCGGGGTCTTGTACCCCTCCGGTCCACGCGGAGTCGAGAGCACGCGTGTCTACCATCTGCTGCATGGCCCACGCCCTTTCCCTCCACAGTCCCACTGGCTCTACCAGCCTCACGGAGCAGCTGTGACTCCCCTGTCCAGACAGCAAGAAGGGGTGGCAAGGCGGCCACAGCTCGGGTCTCCTCAGGCGAAACCCCAGCCCGCCACCGAGCACAAGCCCACAGACCCTGTGCGGGCCACCACACTTCCCCAGGCCTGCTGCTCCGCGTGCACAAGACCCCACACACCTCCGGGCCGGCGTGCGGGGTGTGCGAGCCCCTCCGCGCACAACAAGGGCACCTGCTAAGCACGACTGCACAGCTCAGGCAGGCGGCAGAGTCTTCAGCCTTCAGCAGACAGAGTGGCAGGGAGGGCAGGGCGCCATGCAGACTCGGCAGGGAGCCCCGGATGCCGAGCAGAACAGCCGAGGGCCTCGTGGGTGGGTCTGCATCCCGGCCGCCCTAGAAAGGGTTGTGACCATAACCACGGGGGCCTGGCCGACACAGCTTGTGTTCTCTCCCCTGAGGCTTCGCTGAACCCTCAGGAGGAAGCAATGCCCCTGATTCAAAAGTAGACATGCACAGCAGAGACCCAATAGTCCAGTGGTTACCCTGCACCACTCGTCTACAATTGCTCACCATTGCAAGTTTGTTATGTGAGCAATTGCTACGAACAGCCTGGAAAAACGAAACAAAGAAACCGTCGCAAGTACAGAGACAGGCTGTGAGGAACCGCCACAGCTCTCCTGCAGCCCTGACCCAAGAGCCACAGGAGGGAGGTCCATACCACGCCGGGACAGCCCACAAGCCCCTGCGGCTGTCCACATGGCCGAAGCTGAGCTGTTTCAGGGTGAACAATGACAGACGAGTTGAAACGCACACCGGCTGGTCGGACACCATCAGGAGACTCAGGTGTCGCACAGGACAAGGCAGGCCCGGCCCGGGCAGCGTCTCTGTAACATGGAAGGGCCAATAGAACGCACCCGTCCAACAAGAAACACTTCCTCTAAAAGTTCTGTAAAATCAACAGAGATCCTCAATCAATAATTTCTTGCTATTTCCCACAGAAGGAAGTACTATGCGGTAAGCTGGGATCACAGCGTGGCATGGACTAAGCGCTTCCAGCTCCTAGGATACGCCTGGCAGCCAGCAGGCGCCACAGGGCTGCCCACGTCAGTCCGGGGTGGGAGTTACACAGGCACAGTGGGTCTGTCAAGTCCATCCTTAGGACAGTTCCCAGACTACCAAGGTGAGTTGGGCAGGTCTGCGATAGCAGAATCCAGCAGCAAAAACGCTCACACTGTGGAAGAAAACCCACGCATCCCTTCTGTAGTTAGAAAACAGAAACAGAAAGCAGAGACAGTGCTCACCTGGGGGACAGGGATGCCCACGTCTTCTAAACTGCGTCCTTCTGCCTCTGTGCCTCCAGGGAGCATGGCATGCTTGCTGCCTACGCAGACAGGCCCGAGGGGATGCCCAGATGGCCCTTCCGTGTCAAAAACTGGTCAGTGCTCACTCGGCACGGGACACCCCAACCTCAATCAGGTCCCCGTGTGGCCATCACCAGGCAGACACGTCCTGCACGGTATCTGGAGACGCTGACACTCTGGGGGCTGCTGAATCACTGCCTCCCTCATCCTCCACAGCACCCACCTGGGGCTGCTCCCTGACTACTGTCCCAGGCCTGAGTTTCCTCATCCAGACACACAGACGTACCCGAGGCGCCTGTGGCTTAGTGTTGGGAGAAGGAAACCAATTCAGGAACACGCTCAGCCCGGCCTGCTGCCTGCAAGGCTTCGTGCACGCGCTCCGGCTGAGTGGGAGCAGGCACAGGGTCTTCGCAAGGAAGCCCAGAGCCTGCTGTCGTCAGCGTGGGTTACAAGGACGCGCTGCGAGGCCACCGTGGAGCTCCACGCCTCCTCCTGCAGTCACGGCCTCCTTGCTAACTCCGAACGACCACGCCTGGCCTGCGGCTGATCACACCGCAGCCCCGTCTAGGGCAATCAGGGAGGAAAACATGAGTTCCGCCTGTTGTTATTACAGATTTAGCCCTGAGGACAGCCGGTCCGCCACTTTCGTGAACGCCTCCTGCTACGCGGCCTGGCTGGGCGGCACGTGGTCTGGCAGCAGCTGCCTGTGCTGAGCACACGCGTGTGCAAGTGTAGGGCTGGCCTTTGTTTTGGGGACGGGACACGAGCACCTGCAGCTAACCCGTTCTGAAAGGGGCAGGCAAGTGCAGACGCATCTGTGTAGATGGTAAACTAAGGAGGTAGCCGCTGATGACTCCACCGACGTCCTTGTGCTGACACCTGTCCTGCTTCATCTATGAAGGTTTCCCGAAGCCTCCTGAGCTCTTCATCTCTTGGCTTCAACCTCAGCAAGCGATCCAAACAGAGTCAGTACACGCGTCACTTGACCCTTCAGAAGCCAACTTACACGAGTCCAGGAATGCTCAGAGGCAAAGCGCTCTGAACATGCCGACCTGGGAACGTTCCCTGCCAAGTGGGCATCTGAGGACCTGCCACTGCATCAACATACTGCCGCTACGAGACGGGGCTGGGTTACAGTTCTCTTCCAGCCAAAACGAGCTCTTTGAAGGCAGGAAACCTGCCATCCGATCCCACCGCGGTCTGGAACGCACAGTGTGGAGCGGGACGCATGCTCGCCTGGTGTTCGCCAGGTGGATGTACGGATGCTGCCTGGAAGCTCCCGCCACGGCACCCCCATGCCCTGGTCTGGTCACCCAGCAGATGTTACTTACCAGCCACGCCCCGGCTAACCCTTCTCACACCCCCTCACTCCCCACGTGACGACCCTGCAGACTCTCCTT